CCTAATTTTCTGTTTCGGTTTAATCCTGAAGTGTCAAAGTGTCCTCTTTTTATAGCCATTTTCATTGTTTCTATAGAATAGTAGTTACTATCCTAGTGTCTCATTTGTATTTACTTAGTTTACATGTTTTAATGTTTTAATAATTGTAAAGCGCTTAGAGCTTTATGATAAGCGCTATATAAAAATGCCTAAATAAATAAATAAATAAAGGATGATTCTTAAAGAGAAGGATTGGAAGGATGATTCTTAAGAGAAGGATTGAAAGGATGATTCTTAAAGAGAAGGAGTGCAAGGATGATTCTTAAAGAGAAGGAGTGCAAGGATGATTCTTAAAGAGAAGGATTGAAATGGTGATTCTTAAAGAGAAGAATTGAAAGGATTATTCTTAAAAGGAAGGATTGAAAGGATGATTCTTAACGAGAAGGATTGAAAAGACGATTCTTAAAGAGAAGGATTGAAAGGATGATTCTTCAATCGACCATCGCAGAAGTACTGGAAAATTGTGCGTGTGTTTATGTTGATTTATTAATTATTGCTATTTTATTTACTTAATTTTATTTTCGTGTCGGTGTTGGGGGGGGGGGGGGGGCCATTTATTTTTTTTATTTTTGTTTTTTTTTTTATTTTTTTTTTTTTTGGGGTGGGGGTTGGGGGGGGGGGGGACCATCATATTATTTCTGAAATGGAACACGCAGTTCCTACATTCTTGACCAGTATCAAATTTAATATAAAAAATTAATCTTTAAAACCCAATTATTTTTATTGTGCGGAATGCAGACGCATGCTGTGGAAAAGCGGCGCTCAGGACGAAACCTGAATTTGAAGAACGTCAATATGTTAGAATAAGCGCCCCCCCCCTCCCGTTGACCTAGTAAAATATTTTGGCACCCTGGTGTTTCTTACATGGGATGTTATCGTTAAATTCACTATTAAGTTCCAATCTAAATGCTAGTTTTGCACCCCACCTAATGTTGTAGGCCCGGGGTGAGTGCCTCTCTTCGACACACCTTCATGTTGGAGGCCCGGGGTGAGTGCCTCCTTCGACACACCTTAATGTTTGAGGCCCGGGGTGAGTACCTCCTTCGACACACCTTAATGTTGGAGGCCCGGGGTGAGTGCCCCCTTCGACACACCTTAATGTTGGAGGCCCGGGGTGAGTGCCTCCTTCGACACACCTTAATGTTGGAGGCCCGGGGCGAGTGCCTCCTTCGACACACCTTAATGTTGGAGGCCAAGGGTGAGTGCCTCCTTCGACACACCTTAATGTGGAGGCCCGGGGCGCCGTTCATCTCTTGCATACATTTTACCAGGTAGTAAAAGCATTATTTACAAAGCATTTACACATTACAAAAGTTTATTTTATATTTATATATATTTATATATTAAAAAAAAGATTCAGAATTTCTTTTTTACTTTCAAATTTGACTAGAAAATAAAAAAGACTCAA